ACTAACCAAGCGCACCCTTCCAATCTTATCAAGGTATTTGCTCATCACTCCCTAATATCTCTATGTAAACATATCTGCAGGGAATGATGAGGTCGGAGCCTAGACGCCAAAATCTAAATATGTTATACTGCTGTAATAAACATTTAATACGTGAGTTATCTGACTGAAAAGATATTGTCCTACTACGCTTCATTGGTGATGGCAAGAGGAGCATGCATGCTGCTGTTTTTAAAGTAGATTAGTGATGAATCACCCTTCTGTGTGAAACACACATTAAAAATAGCCAAATTTTAAACATAATCCATGAAAAAGAAGAAAAGTAGAAATGCATAGTAAAATAGTATATATTACTACTACACTACCTATGTTATGTAACTTAAAAATATTAACTTTAGGTGTTAGGAGTGAAGATTAGTCCTAAACACTTGTTGTGTTCTGGTTGCAGAATGATGTAGACAGTTGGAGAACAATTAGATTTTTTAAAAATGCGATATTTTTCCTGAGCAACTTTGAATTATTCTCCCTAATGATGTACAGATCTTTAGGCATTTAATTATCTCAACTGCCTTGAAAAATAGTACATATAGCTGCAGTAAATGGAGAAAAAAATCTCCCCTAGGTTTGGGCTAATCCCTCAATTTTTAAAACATGTGGATCTGTCCCATTTACTGATACACCCGACAATTATACAGACTTACAGCAAGCTTCCTGATCAAATGATCAGTTTTTGTTTTGTGTCTCCACTTCTGTTCATATGCATGACCTCTCTATTTCTCTCTCTATATATATACTCCATAATCTAGATCTGTAACCAAATCCTATTTAAATTGCCGTTATGTATCACTGCACAATGGCAGTAATTGCAGTTATGTTAGGTACTCTAGCTGTAGCTGGCTGGTTAAACTCACTGGATCTGTTTGAACCATGTGCCCTCACGTCTTTGGTTACTTCGATTCACTCTAAACTCCCTGAAAATACCTCATATAATAACTAATTGAGATCTCTTTCTTACCACAAATACCTACTGCACTACACATATAAATCTACGTAGAAAAGAAGAAAGTCATTAAAAGTTATGAACTAACTAACTTATTTACCACAGAAAGACACTCTGGCTTGGCTAAGGAAGTACAATGAAATGGGAATCTGATACCAGAGAGAAAAGAGACACAAATAAGTTAATAGGTTATCTAATGTTATCTAAATGAACCCCTTAATTTTAGTATTTCACAACTCAGCCTCCTACCATCCCACAAACAACACTCATTTAATGACACCAGGGTACATACAGTGCTATGCCGATGAGCTGAACATCGACAATGGTGCCGTTTGCAGTGTGTTCACAGCTGATAGCTGCTGACCCGTCTGAGTTTACGGTCTGGTTCTGTGGTTGAATCACCTCAAAACCTGATGGATGAAAAGGAAGAGTAGCAGCTCTTGGAAAAAACTTACTACAACACTGACTACAAATTCTTTTACAGCAACAAATGCAGAAACATTTTAGGTCGTATGAAGGAAAAGCACTTGTAAACCAATGGTTGATCAGACAAATTTCATTAGATCGTTAGTTGAATTATTATTATTGGTCATATTGTTATGTTTAAAATACAACAAATAAGAATACAAGATCACATTTAAAAAAAAAAGAAGTATGTAAATTCCTATAGACAGTAGGGGGGAACTGGGAGTCCTACCATGGCTTTTGTGGAAGGTGAAGCTCAAATAAACTGTGAAGCTGATGAAGATGTTGAAGCGGCAAGCTTGAACTGTCATCTTTGCGTTTCTGCTCCCTCTCACGCTGTGGTATAAACTGAATCACAACAAAAAAAAAAACAATGTTAACCAACACTAAAACCACAAACAGCTCATTCTGTTGCTGAGTGAGCTCCTAATTCAACAGGAAAAAGGAACCTTTGAGGTTAAACTAGATGCTGATCTAACCAAATGCTGTGTCTTTCTGGTCCCTGCACTTCATTGCCTTCATGTCTCTGCACTCTCCACTTATTAACTGTCACTCAAACTGTTGTTTTTGTAGTTTCTGTGTGCCACATTTTCCTGTTGCCAACACACGTCATGCAATAACGTATCATTTTCTTTTGTTTTTATAGACCAAAAGGAAGAATAAATCATACCACTTCCTGCTCAGCGGGAAATGTGATATATATTTGTTTCCTTCTGTGGAAAGTTTTAGAATTTGCAATTTAGGGCCACACATTTGGTGACTTTTGTATCAGAGAACAGTAAGCAGGCCTTTTTAAAAAGAAAAACAGTTTTATGTTTCATTATTTGATGTTTTACTGTTTAATTAGCTCTTTATCATAAAATCCTGAAATAGTTCAGCAGTACCCAAAACCTTGAATTAGAGCTTTTATTCTCTGCCTGATTGGACCCGGCCCGAGCCATCCTGCTAGGTTTGGGCCCAAAACTGCTGCCATAGATCAGGCTCGAATCGGGCTTGGACAGATATTATTTTATACATATTTCATATTTTATTAATAATACACAAGACTGTGATTAATCAGTGAATTTGTCATTTATTTGTTCTGATAATACTTTGTCCTATATTATATGCACAATGTAGTTTACTTTAGCTTGTAATAATTATTCAGATTATTTATTTTAAGTAGAAATCCAGGTTTGGTTCAGGCTCAGGCCCAAACCTGCTTCCGTGGTTTTGGCTCAGACAGAATTTTTTTGCTCTGGTCGGGTCAGGCCTAATATTTTGGGTCTGATCAAAGCTCTACCTTGAATCCCGACTTTAAATGTACCATTAAATATGATGCTACCACAGTGTAGTAGACCAGTATTCCAAAAAGCGAAACAAAATAAAATGTTAAATCTAGAGTTGAAACAATTAGTCACTTAATGGATCAGTCCATTGCATGCTTACAACACCACGTCATAAAACACCAACTAAAGACCTTCAGCTAAGAAGAAGCTAACTCAGTTCTCGGCTCACATTGGTCCTGCAAAATATGGCATAAAGTAAGATGGAAAATAGTGATATGAGGCACTGAATTTGATAAATAAAATTAGGCAAGAACAGTCCTCTGAGCTCCCAGTCTGGGCAGTCAAGACCATCAACATATATGAAGATGGACAACATGACAAAAGGAACTTTTAAGGTTGAACTAGATGCTGATCTAACCAAATTCTGTGTCTCTCTGGTGCCTTTGCTTCATGCCTCTGCAATCAAGTATTAATTTTTCTTCGTTTAGGTTTTAATTAGTTATTTGAAGGTATAAAAAGTGGGTTTCATGTCAGCTGAGCCCTGTTAACGATTGAGTCGGGCATATGGATGGCAACCTGGATCACTACTGCATAATGCAAGATGGCAGTGGCCGTATCCAGGATATTTTGGCTTCATTTTTGTACAGTGGGAGGGAATGGAGACACGACATCCATCTTTTAAATGTCGGTGGTCAAGACCATTAGCTGGATTTAGCAGCAGTTAGCAAGTTACTTCAGTAAGTTTAGTTTAGGACTATATAGGACTATATATTTTCTCCATATATAGTCCTGGTCTGAGCTCAGTACAGTTAGGACAGTTCTGTAAAAGTGGCTGCTAAATTGCAAAAAATTCACAATTGCACAATGCTGCTTGAAATCTGAGTCTAAGAGGCACCCTACAGCTCAGCTGGTAGAGCTGGCATGTACCAAGGCTGAGTCCTTGCTTCAGTGGCCATGGGTTCAGCTCCAACCTGTGGCCCTTTGCTGTTGCAACCTCTCTCCCCCCCCCTTACCTGTCTTTTTCAAGCTGTCCTGTCAAATAAAGACAAAAGCCCTCCGAACAATATATTTTTTTAAATTAATAAATCTGAGTCTAAGACATGTATATAAACTGGATTTTGTGATGTCACAACTAGTCTGGAAGCTAATTGTGGTCCAGTATGCAGTAAAGCGTGACATGGAAACATGAAACCTCCAGTTCACATAGGCTAGACTGAAGTGAAACTTTCAGGTATGAGACTTGTTGTGTTGTGAAGTCATACTTCTGAAATAATGAATATCTGCATATTCATAGGTTCTGTTTTTTAATGACAGAGTAGGAGTAGATGTAATTTTTCTTTTGTTTTAAAGTTATTTTTTTGGCCTTCTATTGCCTTTTAATGGATAGTGACAGCTGAAGGTAGACAGGAAAGTGGGGTAAAGAGAGGGGGTGACATGCAGCAAAGGGCCGCAGGTTGGATTCAAACCCTGGGCCGCTGCAGCAATTTGGTCGCCAGCTCTACCAGGTGAGCTAACCAGGCGCCCAGGAGTAGATGTAATTTTAAGAATTTAATTAATTTTTAAGTACCTAGGCCTAATTTAACTTTAGTTACAAAAAAAACATATCTGACATATCTTGAAAGAATCTTTAACTATTTCACACAGTTTATTAAGTTACTGCATAGCAATGCATCATCTTTGTATATGCTGATTCTTAGTTTTAAATCACATAAATAGAAATACTCAAGTAAAGTACAAGAAATGTAGTTCTTGAGTAAATGTTATCATCCACCACTTCTAAAGATTATCCAGACCTCTGTGACAATAGGTTACTGTTGACGGAGAGCTCATTATCATTACTAAGTGTGATAAGTAGGAAAACAAGTTTTGTATTCCTGACTGTCTGCCCTTTAGATTTCCGTTGACAAGGCTGAATTTCATGAGGTTTTAGAAAGAAATCTTGATTTAATCCCCTTCGTGCAAACCAGACTGTATGGTTTGTGTCTGTCCATTATCTACATAAATTCTCTGAAACACAATGAACCCTTTGATTTGATCTGTCGTAACTAAAGTCTGCAGTGTTACTTCACATCCTGTTTTTCAGAGGTTGTGTTTCTGTGAAATTATTGTACGTGTGTGAGACAAAAACCACAAACACAACCAGCATAAGCAGCCTGAATTTTCTCTAATTGATTGATCTAAGGTCCTTCTTCTTTTCTACTTTTCTATCTGTTGTAGCACAATTATCTTGTTAACTTTCTATAGTGAAGAAAGTCAAGCAAAACGAATTAAACAACGACGTTACAGCAGTTATCTTTTTTTATAATCCTGCTTGTTTCTTTAAGGGGTTTGTATTACCTTGCAACCTTCAGCAGTGTTGAAGGAGATATCGCTTAATGGATGTCACCCACTAATCACATGGTCATCGATTCTGCCCATAAGTCAAAGTGTCTTTGTGCAAGACACTAAACCTGATGGTCAGACCAGTACTTTGCATGGTAGCTTGTTGCCATCAATGTGTGTGTGTGTGTGTGTGTGTGGGCGTGTGTGTGTGTGTGTGTGTACAACAAAGGGCAGTGTTTGGTGCTAAAGATATGTGTTTAGTGCTAATAAGCAAATGTTAACACACTGAACTGGTATGGTGAACATGGCAAACAGTATACCTGCTGAACATCAGAATGTTAACATTGTCATTGCGAACACGTTAGCTTGCTGATTTTAGCATTTACCATAATGTACTAAATCACTGTAGACTGAAACCAAGACACTGCATAAGATAAACAACACAAAATATGGGTTTCAGACAAACAACATAAGCCACACACTAAGTATGCCACAAAATCATAAATGCTACTTCTAACGGAAATTATATAAAAGATTTTGTCTGTCCCTACTCAAAGAATATATAAGCTTCTGTTTGTTTTTTATGTGACTAAAATCAAATCATTACACATGATTTATAAACTGAAATAAAAACATAATCTGAAAAATCCTAAACCATACAGCATTATAGCACTGACCAGGTCAGTGGAAATTACATTTCTTGATGATCTTACAACTTAAACAAATGAGTCA